GGGGGGGGGGGGGGGGGACACACCATACATGATGACATTTAAATCCATTTCATAAAAATGCCACTGTTATTTGTGCCTGCTAAAGATGACTGTTAGCAGACTCTGGAAGCTTTAAAGGCTAAAGTCATTAGCTATTATTATATGAGAAGTTGGGATCTCCTGATACTGACAATTAATTCAGGCTTAATAGTAGTAGTGGGAAGTGTTGGTAAATCACAGCTGTGGTGCCAAGCATTACTGAATTACTTACTGCATAGGTTTCTGCAGATATTTTTCGTACCACGAATAACAGCAAAGTCCAAGTGCAATCTCCCCCAATCATTTTCCTCTCCAATGCTCCCTCCCCACCATTTCCCCCAAATTTTTTGGTAGCACAAGATGATCTGAGCCAGAACTGGTGCAGTGGGGTCCACAACAAGAAGTGATCTTCAGGCTGGGGTCTTAGTTCAGCTTGCTAGGGGAAAGCAAGGAGCCAGGAAAAAAAGGGACAGTTTCCTATTTCTGTACTACTATTGCTCCACTTGAGTTGTGTCTGCACACAGCTGGCTGGAAGCAGGTTTCCTGCTGCTGCTATGTATCCCTGCTATGGTAGGTCTGTTTAGCATTCACCCCATCACATGCCTTATTTCATTGGCCCCATGCAGGTCAGGCTCTCTGGCTGTTGATTTACCAGAGTCTGCAGCGCAAGATGAGCATTATGGAGCAAAAGCCTCCACCAGGCTCCACACAGCCCCGACAGTGGCAGGAGGGGGCTTTGTATGGACCGTCCTCTCTCTCCTCACTGGCAACTTGCAGTAGCACAGCGTACACAGCTGCTTGGCTAACGCACAGTGCAGCATCCTGCAGCACATGAGGACGGGGCAGTGGAAAGCAGCCGTAGAGCTAGAGGAGTGTAAATGGGAATCACAAACCCTGGATCCTATTTCCAATTGTGCCAGTACTTCCCAATGCAATCTGGGGTGAGCCACATACTCTGCAGGCCTCAAGGCCCCCTGAATGTGCACATCTGAAGGGAACAAGGCAGCACCTGTTCCTTAAAACCTGGGGGGCCTAAATGCTGGGCTTTGAAAATGTCAACAAGTGATTCTAGTTCGTGACCGTGATTTCTCTCAGTGTGAGATGTTTGCCTATGAATCACTGGGACACTTGCATTGGAAGCCACCTGTGACAATGTTAACCCCTTATGTAGTCTAGGATGGCTGCAATATCCATAACATAGGGATGAGGGTGCTGTACGGTACCGCATGCAGTGAGTCAATGCGTGATTGTACCCCACAAGCCTGGGAGATCACTCGAAGATAATTAAAAAAAGGTGGCATGTGCAGTCGATGGATTTTTATTATTATTATTAATAATATATTTCACGTTCCAGGTCAAATCAGCCAAACCAGTTCCAAATCATATCAATTGAACAGAACCCAATTGTTCCAAAAAATGTATCAATTGAGCAGGCAGAACTCAACTACTCTAAATACTGTACGGCACTACAACCAGGGAGCATCCTCTGTCCCAAGCTCTCACCTTAGGACTTCAGGTACCCCCAAATCCATTGGCAGGCATCATACATGCAGGCCCAAGCCTGGAGATCTTGGGGTTCAGATGCCCCCACTTGATCTTAGCCCACAAGAGGCCGAGAAGTGATCGGGGGCTAGAGTTGACAGTTGCCTGAGTCATGAATGCAGGGCCAGGTTTTCAAAGCAAGCAGCGCTTTAGCTGGACAACACGTCTCAAGACCAGCGAGTGCCATTTGAGGAAACTCTGAGTCCACACACCCTTCAAAACGTGCCCCCCGCTTCTTTTAAAATCTGCAAGTGGGAAAAGCCAACACTTGGCCAAGGAGACACAGCTCAACTCAGCTAGAGACTTTGCCTGTGCCCTGATCCAGCCAATACACACGTGTCACTTCAGACACATGTGAAGTCCCACCGACTACAACGGGACCAGGGCTTCTGATCAGGGTATAGTGCTCAGTGTTTTTGGGATGGAGATGGAGGTTTTCTCTCGCTGTCAGATTGGCTGCAGTAGGCAGGGGCCTTTGCCTTCCTCATAGCAGCTGCAAACGGAGGTTGGGTTGGCCTTGGAGGGTACGTTCAAACAGTTGCAATTAAGCAATGTAGGTACTGAACATGAAGTGGACTTCCAGGAACATGCCCTTTGAAGGAGCTCAGGAACAGTCAAGGCTCCTAGTATCTGGCACGGCAGAGACAACCCCTTTCTGGAGGGCTGGAGGACCAGCTGTGAAGGCCTCCAGACATAGAGCTGATTAAGGAGAGAATGATGAGCACGTTACCAGGGGAAGAGTTCCCAGATGAGTTACACAAGTACAGGTGCAGCCTAATTAGACCACATCCTTGTTTCTCTTCCCACATGTCCAGGACAACGAGATAGACTTGAACTTCTCTATCAGGTGCAAGTTTGGCAGAAATAAGAAGGAAGCCTGTGAATACATCAAAAACCATACTTTATTTTATGTATAGCAATACAATTTACATATTAAATAACACTATAATAGAATGATTTGATATAGTTTTAAACATAACAAAAAGGAGAGTCTTCAAGTTACAAAAAAACCCCGAACAAAAAACGAAACGGAAACAAACAACCCCTCCCCCCCTCCCAAAATATCTCCCCAAAACCAAACACCACATTTTTTTTTCCAAATGGATCAATGAGACAAACTTATCCAGTGACTGGCTAAGTCTAATTCCTATTGCACACACTGACAATGGAATCAAAAGAAAATCCAACTTTCACAATCACTGCCCCAAAGAAATAACATGTGTGTTGTTGTTTTTTTGGAATGTGATGATGGTGTTTCACTACTTCAATACACAGAAAGTATGATTCACATATCCACCACAAAAAAAGGAAAAAAAAAAAGAAAAAAGAAAACTATGAAGGAGTTGAAACTAGAAAAAAATTAGCTTTATATGAAAATATAAAATTCTATGATTATATACCATAGATACAAAGTTCCCAGAAGATGCTTATCCAAGCAACAAAATATTTACAGTTTGAATGATTTCTGCTATTTAAAAATGAAGGAAAAGGAAATCGGAGCAGATGTGGATGCTTAGTTCTTTAGAAACAATGGCTGCTTGCTAGTTTCAAATGTTCTAACAAAACAAAAAAGTCACTACCCCAAATGTTGGAGAGTTGTGACGTTTTATAAAATTGACTATCTCCTCTTTTGGAGACATGTTTATTCTTAAAACTCAAGACATTTTTCTTGAAATTAATTATCCTCTGTAGAAAATGCTTCCCTTTGCAAGTAGTTAACAAAAATACTAAAAACAGTTTAACAGCTAAGACAAAGTAGAGGCCAAATCTCTTCATTACAGTTCCATCTCTTTCTCTCTCCATTTTTGCATACCTTCTCTGCAGGTAAGCAACACCAATGTCATCTACACTGTTAGAATGGCAACGAAGAGAGAAAGTGCAAAGGGGTCACAAGCAGAGTTGAAGTACTTCTTTGTTTAAAAGGAAAAAAAGAAAGAAAGAAAGAAAAGGAAGAGCAATGCAGTGGATTAGCAATTAGGCATTTTTCCTTCATATAAAAATTCACTGGCACCATTTGAACAAAAACTTCAGAACACAGGATTACATGGCAGAAGAGAATGCATTTGAGAACGTGACTGCTAAATCATTAAGACAACTTGAATTATTATTATTTTTCTTGAAATTAAGATTGTTGTTTGTTGGGTTTTTTTGCTGAGAATTAGTAATATGTATCTTTGGTAAAATTGATATCTATATTTAAAATTTTTAACCAAAATGCATTCATTAAAAAAAAAAAAACCCCAAAGATTAATAACAAGGCAGTTGTGCTGTGTCACTAGAAAGAAGGTTAAGTCTTCTAGTGCTTCAATACATCACTCTGGGATCAACCGATTCAAGCAGTCAGAAATTTGGAAAATAATTGAAGCCTGGTGGATCCAGTAAATAATCAACTAGAATGGACCCACCAAAGAGGAATGAAGTACCAGAATCAAACACAAATAAATACAGTTTAGCTCTTTTCTCATCTGAAATGCTGAAAGGACAAACGCTGCGTTCAAGCCAAAGTTATTCTGACCTTGGCTCCGCAAACAATTCAATGCGCTTAACTTTACACACAGGAGCAGGCCCACGGACTTTTGCAGAGCTACCGTCCTAGCATTGCTAACCGTCAAGAGGAACGGGCCCGTTTTAGGCCAAGAACGCCGCTGCTTTTCCATGTCGTTACCGACACAGCAGCTCTCCTCGTTTTGGAAAACTTGGTCATTACTGAGGGCTCAATTCATCCTTCTTTCACATGGTCTCCCAGCGAAGCACCCGTGTCAAACATGGGGAAATAACATGGTCTTGAGATGTATGCGTGCACATGCACACACATACAAGCCACTGGTCCCGTTCCCCTCCAAGTGCTAGTGCTGAGGAAGGACCATGTCTCCTCGCCAAGGAATACAGCCCTGTTCTTCCTAGCTCGCACACCCTTTGTTTGAAAGACATCATTGCTACCTTTGAATGACTGCAATGTCAAAACTACAAGCGTCAGGTTAGAGCGGCGAACATAAAACCGTGCCAGTGTCACTATGCATGTGTACAGGACTTTGGCAAGACAGACGCAGGACAGCATCTCATCCTACCCCTACGAGTAAGGGTCTTTTAACACACATTCAGGGCTTCTGACAGTCGCATCCAGTCCCAGGGAAACAGGTGCAATTAAGTCATCAGAACTGCAGCTGCTTTCACGGGGATGAATTTAGCTCGCGCTCTCTTTTCTTCCTGAACTTCACATGGAACTCCTGGCCCGAACATACCCCAACACATCACTGCCTTCCTACCACCTATTTTATTGTTGAACTCAACACTGATACACAGTTTGGTTTCCATGGGAAGAAAAAAACAACAGTCGAAAAGTCACAGAATGCCAGGGGTAAGTATTTTCCCCAGGGATTAAGCCCCATGTCGTTAGTGCAGGAGAATGCCAATGCACAAATGTCTACCCTTTACCAGTGTTCAACCCTGCAGCCTTCCCTCATTTGACTTAACGCATGGTGCGAAGGCAAGGAAGAGAAGGTGAGAAAAGCCAGGCAAAGCGTCACTAACGGTCATCTTCTTCTGCCCCCAAAACGCACTGAAACGGCAGGGAACTCAGTCCCAGGTGTGCTGAACAAATTCCTCTCTCTAGCTCTCTCCACAAATGTTCAAACTACCCGGTTCCTCTCGCAAATGGGGTGACGACCCCACCCAGCAACCGGAATACTTCAGATGTGAACTGATAAGAGTTAATCCGAGTCCTTCTGGGTCCTGGCACAACCACTGCTCCCAGCGCCAAAGCCTCTGTCACCAACGCGGGCTGGTAAATTCACCTCCTGGTGAAACATTTCAGCCCCAGACTAAGCAGTGAGGATGGCAAAATGGGAACTGTGCTTGAATGACTTCTGCCACTGCCACTTGGCAGTTGGAGAGTCAGCCTAAACTCCTACAGTATCTGAGACGGGCTAACCTGTCACAGCCAGGCTGTCTTCATGCTGGTGTTAATGGGAGGGCTAAAGCATCGTGACTCACCATGCTATTTATCTTATTGAATTGAATTAGATTCCTTGGTGCTGAAAACATGGTGTGTGATGCATTGCTACTTAGCATCGGCTAGTATTTGGGACCGGTAGTATCAAATAGTTAAGCAAATTCAGATAAATCCATAGATGGTTACTGGTGAAATTCCTTCCAGAGTTGGTTTGCCTGGTGTGTGGGGGGGGAGAGGTGCATGGAAGAAATCTTTCCAGCATTAAAAATACAAGGTCAGGTCTTCAGCTGGAGTAAACGGGCATTGCTCCACTGACGTCAGCGAGGCTCTATCGATTTACAACAGCCGAGTGTGCCTGGCTCCAAATGGGCACCCTTCATATTTTTTTTAATGCACAGCACCCCTAGCTCCTTCCTAGCTGACTGCTCTGCCCCAAAATGCAGTCTGCAATTCTCCAATGGAAGAAGCATTTTTTGTCTTGCAGATGCCTATGCCCCAGGGAGGTCCTATTGGAAACAGAAAAAAAAATCGTGTCAAAATCTAGATGAAAAATATGCTTGAATATTGCTGAAGAGTCCTGCAACCTTACAGTGCCCTCTGGGTTTAGCTGAAATGTAAGACTAAAGAAAAATCAACCCATAGATGAGGGACAGCACCTTTACATCTACCCCACGCTCCAGAACAGCCAAAAGAACACCTCGACGGAAAGGGGCCTGATTCAGCAATCCTGTTCGCTGTTTAGCACAGCTGTCAAGGATGTCTTTAGCTCTGACTTGAAGCAGGCACTGATAACCTGGGACCATAATGCTGTCAAAAGGGGAGCTAATAAGGGCAGTGCACCTAACAGTTCAAGAGGATAACCAAATTATTTCAGCCCCCTCATTTTGAGGGAACATTTGATTTGTGTGGGAATGAGCAAGGAATCAAAAGCTTTGAACTGAACAGTTAGTTTAGCCAAAAAAAAAAAAAAGAGGAAGAATGTAACTTTATAGGTAGTTTTTTATTAGTTTGCTTCACCAGTAAATATGGATCAGTACTTTGTTTTAGCACTAGAGTATGAAAATTACACACCTGTAAAAATGGCATCTAACAGTTATGAAATTAAGAAACGCCTGTCTTCATCATGTAACATACCATTAGGTGTGAGGTCACGTTCAAGAAAGCGTAAGGAAATTAATGTTTAAAATATCGAATAGCTTAGTAATGTGAAATATTGCTACCTTCACGTCTCTGAAAGCAGACCTGATTTTAGGTTGTAGCATAGTTTTCACTGTATTGGCTAGGATGGAAATAAAATTACGGCATTTTCCTGCCACGTGGCTGGTTTAAAAAATTAAATTGACATTTCTTCCTGAAGCCGTAAATTCAAAATCCATGACTGTGTCCCAGTATGAGTTGTTGTGTTTTATGTTTTCTAATGTCATTTTTTTCTGTGTTCCATGTGAAGCAATTCTTAGGCCTTCCAGTACACAGAACAGGGACCTGAAACAGTACAAAAGCAATTGCTTCAGCTCCCCACGGCTAGTCCATCTCAACTGTAGCTAGTAATCACCTAACACATTTTGTCAAGAAAGGATGAACATTGCTCATCCACTCTACTGCCATGCAGAAGACCTATACCAATGACCAACGTGAAATGAAGATTAAAACAATAAATATTAGGAGTATGAAGGGAAATAGTATTTCTTGTAGTCAGAATCCATTGGGTCTAGCATTTAAGATTCAAGATTCAGGGGTCACCGTTAACAAAACTTCGCTGCATCGAAACTAAAAAAGTAGCATATGCTTGTTGTCATGGAATGTCACATCAGGGCTTGCTTTTGTATTAAAATATTATAGGCAGTAACACTGATCATATAGTGCAAACTAGATAAAATTGCGTTTCACTGTGTGAAATAAACAGAGGTGCAAATGCTCAGTAGGATACCATTAAGACATAAAATGGCAAAAAATAAATATCAAAACTTTTATCAGTGTAAAAAAGTAATCGGGTTATTGTATAACCTAGAGTCTGGCAAAAAAGGCCTCAAAAAAGTTCACTCAGTCTTCAGAAGTTCTACAAAGTAAGTGCCTTTTCAGGGGTCCAATTAGACAAGAGACTCCATGCTTTCTGCCGGATCCGACTCATCGCTGGTCATCACAGCACCGTTTTTGTCCAGTGTCATGGGGCCGTTTCCATTTTCCTTAGTGCTGACCAAGCTGAGCATCGCTTTATAAAGAAATTGGTACTGTTCCTGGAATGCAAAGGACAACACCTTTAATCCCTAGGCCACTTAAGAGGATTGCATTGACATTTCTGCGTTTCCAGCCCGCGGACATTCGTAAGGAAGGAACCCCCTCCTTTCACCTGAAAAGCGTCATGGCAGCAAAAGAACCAATAATGCCTGTAGACTGCAGTGGTCCAGATATGCTCAAAACCAACCTTCAGAGTCAAGACACTGGTTTCAGCTGTCTCATACAACATTTGACTTCCATCCTGCTGTCTTCCCCACACTTCCAACCTGTCAGGTCAGTCAACTAGAGGGCTTAAACGACGGAATCAAATTCCCCCCATTTCCTGCAGATGTAACAAGTAACTCTTCCCACACTCATGATCTTGTTCTGATTATGAAGCAGTTACTAACTCTGAAGTTACTCTAGAAACTCCTCACGAATTGGAAGCCAAAAACTGTAAAGAATAGCATCGACTGAGCAATCAAACCCAATCCACATTTATAATGCCATCTCATTTTGTATGTATATCGCACGGGACCTGACCCAGTGACTACTTGAAGTGACTGGGTGTTAACTTCTGCACCATATCAGCCTCACGTGCACCTCAGCAGCCTGGTGTGTTACACCTACAAAAGGGTTCAACTGGTCAGGGCAAAATGGAGAAGCACTTATACCAGCTGTTCGGTGGGGCTTGCTTCTGCTGGGACCTTTTCATTTCTACCTCCCTGTCCCACCGCTACGTGTGTTCCCCATCAAAATGTACAATTTGCAGCAGTAATGATGCAGAGTAAAAGGCAGAATGGCAGCATTCATCTGCCATGGGGCATATACAGGGCCTAAGTACATCAGCATGCATCAAATCTAGATTTTGCTCCCGAATCTAAGACGTGCACTTCAGATACGAGTGGGGGGACGGGAGCAAGTTCTGGTTTCTTTGGGCTGAGCATCGGTCTGGGAACTACTCTAAACTGCGCCGGCTGCCTAGGGCCTGGGCTTCCAGCTATGCTGCAGTGAGTTACAGCCCTGTCCCATCCCTGCCCCCAGGCTGGGGCTCTTCCTCACATGCTTAGTCAATCCCAAACAGGGATGCTTCATACACAGAGAGAGCAGCAGCCTCAGAATCAGGTCTGTCGCTTCCCTAAGGTGCTCCCAGGTGCTGTCCTAAGTGTACAGCACAGGCTGCAAGAGAAGCCCATAAGCAACTTCCACAGCCTGGCTGTAGAGGCACCGAGGCTTGATAACGGTGCCTGCGTGTGTTTTAACCGATGTTCTTCCTCTTCAGTAAAACCCTTGGTAAGCCTCCCACTTATCTTGCATATAAAGACTTACAATGTCTGTAAATACTCCAGGCCGCATCAGATTGATCATCTTTGCCACCTGGAAAACATCGACAGCGTTTTCATTCTCCAGCTGCTGTGACAGGGTGGTGAGGGCACACAGTGTTCCTGCCGACACCGCTCCGTACCTGGAAAACCGCAACAGCGCGCGGGTGAGATGGGCAGAGGTGTGCTCGGGGCTGCAGTGAGAGCTTCCAAACATACTTCAAAACCTTTCACTCTCAAGCCATCCCCTGCCCCCTTCCTAAGCTTGACAGGCATTTGGTACGTGCAGATCCACGTGTTTGGGATTAATAGTGCGCTGCGTGATGCAGCCATTTCATGTGCTACAAGGAAATTTTTGTTTTCATTTTCAGCTATGTTTGTTCAGGCTCTGACCAAAGGTGGGAGAGGCGTAAAGATGAAAAGAAGTGAATACGACAAATAAACCAACAAACCAATTTACAGAAAAAAAACAACTCAGCATGGCTAGAAATGCAGGTTTGATTTTTTCCCCTTGTTTCTTTGGGTCTAGCATGAAACGTCCAAATCAATAATGGGACTAATTCCGTAAAACATAATCTTAAATACTGCAAGAGCAGCAAAATCACACAGCAGACTACCCAAAGCATGAATATTAAAGCCAGCACAGAAGGAAGAGCTGGCAAGAGCCAACCGAGCTTACACTGTGCATTAGAAGGCAGGGAGCAGTGGGAGAAAAACCACTTGCTAGCGCCCAAGGCGCTGTTTGTTGGAGTCTGCTGCGAAAAAGCTGCTGCACCAGCAGTACCCCCATGTTAGGGGAAAGGTTTCTTTGCTGCAGAGGAATATGAGCGTACGTTCTTACACCCCAGGAGCTGGGCTGGCTCTATGGTACTCTGCAAATAAAGGAGACCGTAATGATTTTCCTACTTAGCTCCAGCAGTGATAGGATGCCCGGTGGCTCTCGAAACTGTTTGTTTTTTGTTTTTTTTTTATAGCAGTGCCTCGTATTAGTTTAAAGGGGTATCACCATTCCCAACGGGTGAATTCTACCCCTCTGCAAAAAGCTGACATCAGGCCTGCGCATGGGACTATGATGCCTCGCTCCTGTGCTGGCACTCTGCAGTTATGAATTTCTCCCTGTGCAAAGAGCTGCTGCGGGACTGTAATGCACGGTCCTGGACTTCGCAATTAGCAGCATCTCCCCAGTTTTGGAACTGGTTACAACTGTTTACAAAGTAACAGGTAAAGTGTAATGGCACATTCAGCACCCTCTCCAATTAGGTATTGAAATAGTAATGGCATCAGAGCATTCGCTGTTACAGTGCAAAAATATACAACCATCAGGAAACACTGACAGCTACTGTACTGCATGCGCGGCTCACAGAGCTCATTCCGAGTTAGCTCTGCAAAACATTACGGGGAGGGAGGGGGGGAGAACTATCTACCTAGGAACAAAGACCAGGTTCTCTGGTACAAGTTACCCTCATTGAACATTGTGAGAACCAGCTGAGCTGAATCTGGACAATCCTGCTTACATACTGGCTGCACAAAGCTCCAAGTCCCCCAGTGCAGATGCTGGGGATTCAACGGTTTGGATAAAGTTTCATAAACCAAATGCAGGTAACTGGGAGCCTTGTGCTGCTGGAAGCCTCTGCTTTGGACACTTCTGCAGGGCAGAGCAGCCCAAGATGCACGGAGAGCAGATGCGGCTTCCACCAGTGAGGTCTAGCCTGAAAGACCAGACCTGATGCGGGGAACGAGTCAATGGACCTGCCTCATACGGACGAGCAGCTGCGTTTCAGGGTCAGGCTCCCCTGACCTGCACGCTTACCCACATGCACAACCACCAGGAAAAGAGGAGGAGGCAGATGACGTACTCATCGTGAACAATGGTGGGGCCATCCCTCGTTAAGGCCTCTTCCTTGATTACATTGATAAGTTCAAAGGTACTGCTTATGGGGGCGTCTGGGTTTGGCCATTTGGGACACTGGAAGTGGCGCACTTCCAGCACGTAGTCATCCTGAAAGAGAAGACCAAGCCTGGAGTTACATGCTTGAACACCACGTCTGTACACCCAGGGATGCCGGAGAAGGAAATCAGAGTGGCCACACAGGGAAACTCCCCTTCCCCCCAAGGCAGAGAGGATGCACCATGCATCTGGTCAGCCCTGTGGCCGGTGCACTGGTGCAGGCCCTTTCTGCCAGGGAGCTGAAGACGGGTCTGGCCCTTCTGTCCCTCCCACCACGCCTGCATTTATACTGCAGCTTCTACCAGGGACAAAGGCCTCCAGACAGGGCAGGGGTTTCCCATGAGGACAGGAAGCCGAGTTCTCCTCATCAGCAGAGCTGAGTCAAACTACACAGCTCATGGCGTCCGCACCGCAGAAGGACCAGGATCTCTGTGGGGCTCTCCAGGGTGGCCGTCCATGCACAAAGCCCTGGTACAGCCCTGGCGCAGCGAGCTCCACGGCCCATGCCTGGGTGACGCCACGGGGCTGCAGCTCAGAAGGCAGCTGGTCAAACAAGAAAGGAGCAACCCCACAGGCATCCAAATGTACAAAGCTGCCAAAAGTTTATAAACCTTCTCCCTGCAGCAAAACACTGCTGCGGTCCCATTTTCTGACAGCGAGGCAGTCTGAAAGCCTTCAGCATGCTTTAGCAAGAGCAGAGTCGCCATCTCCGTGAAACCGCTCATTTGCAGCAGCTGAATTTCGGAGGAACAAGGCCTGGGATGTCAGTGTGCTGTGTAAGGAATAATTCTATCAACTGAATGAAAAGCAAACATCCAGACTTCTGGAGCGGGGAAAAGCTGCAGCCTAACCCAGAAGAGAAACCCAATGCTGAGGAGTAATCCACTTGGAAGCAGAAGACGGAGCCAGCTTTGGAGACGTGAGAAAGGAGAGGAACAGCCATCCCCAGCAGAAGACACCCCCAT